GCAAAGATAATGCGCAAAGTATAGTAGACCGTCAAATTCAGGTGAGTAAAGGAGAATTCTAATGGATTGCACAGGATTATTGCACTTCACCCCGATCTCCCAAATCATCTGCAGTCCATCCGTAGGCTTTATTTTTTGCCTTCACATATGCTCCATGCATTGGCTGGCCTTACACTTGACAAATTTACAATAAAGCCCCCAATAAATCATGTTAAAAAGCTACTTCTCCTTCACTTTGGTGAGCAATCTGCAGACATCTAGCATTCTATTCAGTAAAAAACCTAATTCTTTATATTATAACTAGATTTAAAAAAGTATACTGCATTGTACTGAGATAACACAATCTTCTCCTAATACATTGCTGTTCACAATGAGAAGATGGCTTCCTACAAACCCATGTCTGTTCTAGTTATATTAGCTTCCCTAAGGGTGCCTCCTAAATAATCCTGATAAATTGTGAGACATACGCGTTTATGTAGCTGGTTGTTTAACCTATCAATTTTTAAACCTGTCTAACAGTCGAAGGAGTATTCCTTCAATTATTCCATTACTTGTCGCTTAGCAACCACTCTCTTCCCCACCAATCAGCTCATATTGTGCCCGTCACATGGACTCTATGATTTCTCCTCCGCCATTAATTGCCTGTTTAAACAAAAAATGAAATAATCTTGATTGTTTCTGTGCTCTGCTTGCTATCCACACATTTCATCATTATCGCCGGTGATCGCAGTCCCGGCTTAAAGGAAAGCGCCAGTTCGCTGTACCACCTTCCAGGTGGGCAAAGCAACTGGCAAAACATGTGACGCTGTCTGCGTCTACAGGTGAGGTCTTGGCTGTTTGAAGAGGGTGGCGATTGGCACCGCCATTGCCTGCGAATGGACTCTCTGGGACTTGAACAGGAAGCTGATCTATTCATTTTTATAGATGGACATTTGGCAGCTGGTACTGAGAGCGCCTGGCAATATAGGAGGAAGGTGAGATGTGGCCCACGACACTGCGAATGGAGGAAATATGATGAAAGGGTCGCAGGTTTAGAAGTGAAAGTCTAGCGGTTGGCTGTCAATTGTTTGACAGTATATAGAAGGCAAGGTCACCACTGCAGCCTGTTGATATCTGCTCTGATTAATTTAAAGGGAGGTGGGTTTATGGTGGACATCAGCGTATAAATCACAGAACGCGATGTGCGCTCCTGGGTCAAAGCGGAATTAAGCAAAGCAGTGAGGTGGGTTAAAGTGCAGAGTCAGTAATCTGTGCTTTAAACCCAAGGATGCCGTGGGATTTCATCGTGTGACATCTCTGTATACCTCAAGAGCCTCCGTCCTTGTCTGTGTCAGCGACCTCGATAAAAACCCAATTCCCAACTCTTCTCTGCCAGGAAAAAAAAGGGCTCTGGAATTCATGCAAATCACATTAATTCTAGCATCTCCCTTGTGAGCCCGCTATAAACTGCAGCCTAATTAAATATTTTTTAACGATGTGAGTAATTTTTGCCACGGGGCGGATTCAGGGGGAAATTTAATATGAGATCACAAAAGCTGTTCCCAGCGTTGATTCTGTAAATTAATAACTACGAGCCAAGCGGAGAAATATACAGACCTAATAAAGGCAGACACAGAGAAAGAAGCATCATACATTCCTTAATGTTGCAATGGTGCTTTATAACACCTTTTCCCCTCATGTGTATTCCAGTTTTAATCAAGTATGCCATGGAAAACCAGCACTGTGCCACAGAGCTGGAGTAGTGGAGCTGCCATATTATTCAAATCCTGAAAGCTCCATCAACTTCAGGTTTAACTTCAAATTCATCTGTACATAGAAAAAAGGTGCAAATGTTCCCATATTTTTAAAACTTTTAGAAAAAAAATTACATATTTTTACGTGACTTAAAGTGGTATCAAAAACAAAAATGTAATAAACTGCAGTTTACTATTTCTTAAATATGGTGCTTACATTAGTTTTCTTTTTATAATTTTTTACTTTTATTTTACACTGATGCACAGGCCAGGAAGTCTATTATTTTTCAGCTTCCTTTAATCCTTGGTTAACACATGTGTGGCTTTGAATTCATGCTACTTCAGAGCTGACTATCAGTGCGATTGCATGTTCTGCTTGCTGACATCAAGTGACTTAATTTAGCAGATGTCAATGCAAGTTGAAATTAAGTCACACAGAAATAGTGCAGGAAGCTTTTTGAAAGTCACTGCAACTTTTGAACATTGCTGCATATGGGGTGCTTCTTGTCATGAGACTTTGAATTGTCAAGTCATATGCAAGTCCAACTGGTGTGAACCAGGGTTAACAGACCAAGCTGTCCAGAAAAAGTGGCAGTTAGAGAGTTGCGACAAACTACTTTAAAGCGGAAATAAAGTCACAGTTCCCACCTCTTCTCCAAAGATCTGACGTCTGCTGGTGCCAGCATCGTCTCCCTGACTTCTATTGGTTGCCTGGTCTTTAGGTGTCTTGATTGGCTGAAGAAAGCTGATGTAGCTCCCATGCATGCATAGGAGTTTATTAATCTTGGTAAACAGGCTCTGCGCTGATCGCATACCCTGAGTTATATAGCCTGAGCCCTAAGTTGCCTTGTATGCTGACCGTGTGCCAGATGATAAATAATAAATACTGTATAATAATAATAATTCCATCATACTTACCTTTACCCAGATGACCACAATGGGATAATATATATATACATGCGCTTTAATTTTGCGCTTCTGGTGAGTGCAATCATATTACCGGTTTCAATCACGGATTTCACCAGCATGGATCACTTGAATTTTGGACTTTATTTATTTTGCTGATTTTATGTCATTATTCACCATACACAAAAGTCACTTTATATTTATTTATTTATTATAACTTTCTTATACGTCATTACTATATACTTACTGAACACTTCTAGCGCTAGTAAGCGCCCACGTTAGATATATTTTTGTTTCTTTTCAGCGCTGCATTTTTACATTTATGATTGTTCAGAGGGTAAGAGGTTTCACCTTTAATGCCAGCAGCTAGACAACCAATGCGCTCACTTTTACCTTTTTATATACGTACCCTAAGCCGCTCATTCACCTAGTGATCCAGCCAGGAAGTATGTTTCTAGCCATCACCAGGTGAAAATAAAAGGATAAACAGCCTAAAAAATGAATCTAATGCAGCCGCCACATCTAAGGAATGGTAGGCTGCAATATATTACAGTTTTGTTTTTGGGTTTAAATACCGCTCTTTAATGCAGAAGCACAGAAAGGATAAAAATTGTTCATTCTTACATGCATTCTAGTAGCCTTGTTCAAAAAGCAATGCAAAAAGCAATGTGCAATAAAACTGTTAAAAGATTGTGATTGTTTGCAATGGGTTACTGCACTTTCCTCACCAAACTTTTTATTAATATGTTTTTTTTTTTACATAAGGAGTACTTGATAAACACTGGCATCTATAGCAGTTGCATACTTTAAGTTGAGAGACACTGCTATAGTGCTTGCAATTCATTTTTTTTTCGGTTTGGGCAGAAGGCTTGTTTCTTTTTAAGTCATTTATCTACCTCATAACTGCAGTGGAACATTTTCTGCACTCCTTGATCAAATCTCCCCTTGGCCATTAGAAAGAGGGCAGCAAAATATGCTAAACTCACCATTGTGTGTGTCAAATTGGCGTTAATAATATGCCCGCTCTGCCCCTCCTCTATGGCTGCCAGGCAGTGATGCAATTACCCAGCCTGCTTTCCTACCCGTGATTCCAGGCACCCCCTGCAGCTCAGTGTCATGTAACCTGTTATGTCCGGGTCACAACAGTTTTTTTCCTCTTTTTAAATTCTACATTTTGGTATATCTGATAGAGGCGAACACTCAGTCGAGTCGTATTTCCGTGTTTAGTGACCGTGCTTGATTACTAACTGCAAAGAGCCATTGGCAACTACCTTCCAGATCTGGGTAGACACGGAAAACAGGCTAACTGTAGTGTCTTTTATATGGACCACTGTATAGTCAGTTATATGAAGGATATGTCCTTCCTCCAACTTCTCTGCTTTAAGTTCATAACAGACCCTGTAAGTTTTACTTATCTACACATGATATGTCTGGAGCTTTTTATATGTGTTTCCATAATGTTAGGCTGGCCATAGTTGGATCTTTTTTTTTTTTTTTCAAATCAGCCCGCCAGTTGATCAAAAATAACCAAATGAATTTCCACATCCACACAATGGAGGTGATCAAACACAGTTTTCCAACATTTCCATTTGAGAGACGTCATCCATTAGATCAACTTCTCTGGAGTGGGAATGGCAATAGAAGGATAGAACTTTGTCAGGTCCCTGCTAAACCAGCCAATTTTCATTTGATCTATGGCAAGTTTAGTCTTCTTTCCATCATTGTATCTGAAATATTTATTCTTGGTGATTGGTGCAGCCACTCTTTTAGGAGAATTGTAGCAAATCCTGTGTTTCACATTCTTTCAAGAACCAGGGTCATTTTTTAAATGATCTGATCAGGTTTTATTATGTATTTATAAAATACTTCTCCTTTCAGATTTAATAGTCCTCTTCCGTAGGCAATGGTAATGTTGGCAGGACATAAATCAATAGTCATTAGATGTAATATTTTTCTTGTGCTTTGGTAGCCTTTGATGATGAGACCTCTATATTGTATTGTGGGATTTAATGCTAGGGTTGACAAAGCTGGCACCCAGCAAGGTAATTATGCAATCCAGGGGGTATTTGGGTGTTAGGTTAATGTATAGGTGTACTTCTAGTCATAACTACCTTAACCTACCCTCCAAAGTCTTATTGATGCCATCTATACCTCTCCAGGTTCCAAACCACCAAATCCTAGTAGATCTCCGGTACCCTCTGGGACTCCAGATTTATCATTTTTAGTGACCATCATTATAAGGTACCCAAAAAATCCCAGTATGCTTCATGTCTTATGTTGGCCCCCGAAAAATTGTTCTGGAATCCTATTCAGTGTGTACAGTGTACTCCTGGTTTACAAGACTTTCTATATATTGGTTTAAAGTATATATGCACTTTTATTTATGTCATGGTTATCCACAATCAAGTGTTTTCTTTATGAATTCTTATTTGTCATGAATGTTTATATGGATCTTTTATTCTCTGCAGGTGGAGCTGACTGGAAGCAGCATGTTTGATTATGTTCACCCAGGGGACCACGTAGAGATGGCAGAGCAACTTGGCATGAAGCTTCCACCCGGCCGCGGACTTCTCTCGCAGAGTGCCAATGATGATGGTGCCAGTTCAGCATCTTCATCCTCACAGTCAGAGACTCCAGAGCCGGGTAAGTGTGATGGAGGAGCTGTATGGGATGCAGGAGATTATCTGTATAGGTATACTGCAAAGTCAAAACTAGAAATGAATCTTTAGGATACAAATGAGAGCACATTCTGCATGGTCATCCCACTAGACACCACCTGTAAGTGAAATTGGTTTTGAGTGGACTGCCTCTTTCTTACATAACTGTTATAGAAATCCAGTGCAAACAGATGATATATTCCAGTTCCCTTTACATGGTTCTATGCTGCGTCTCCCCAATGTAGGTGTAGGTGAGGCTGCAGTGTGCTCAGAAAAAGGACATGAACCATGAACCAGTAAACACGCCACTCTAAATTTTTATAGACTCTAATTTAGGGGCATTCAGTAGATGATACTGGCAACAATAAGGTAGCCATCCACTCTACAGTTAGTTTAAAGGAAAGTGTTAACATGACCAGAATGCACATATGTATGAAAGGATTTTGCTTAATGTAAAAAAAAATTTGTATTCGTATCATTTCTTACCTTTTCAGATACTGGGCTCAGTTCCCTAAATCATATCGCATGCGGTTTTTGGGTCACATGACACATTTTACCCAAACATCGCATATGATATTGAAAATGTCAATTCACTATCCCTTTATGCACCATTCACCTTAAAAGGCAGAAATGTTCGGTTAATACCGCATAAAACAATGTTATAGTCAATTCAATAAAGGAAATAAATAAATGTGGGAAAAAAGTAGTAGTCCGGGCATGCAATAGTTAAAGAATGTCTATATTTCAGCTGGTTGTCAAGGAATCGGCATCTGCCGACAGCCGCTGGACATACTTCAGGGGAATTTTTTTTTGGGGGGAGGGGGGACTTTGGTATGGATTAGGGGGGACTCCCACACTGTTTTTTGAAAAAAAAAATTTGAGGCGGCTCTTCTTTTGTTTAAATTCTGCTATCTATGGGGAATCCCGCTGACAGCAAATGAGTCATGGTTGTTTAGGACGCACTGAGTGCCGATTCCTTGACAACCAGTTATTCACTGGTTGGTAAAGATGTCGTCTACCGCCAGCTCCTTGACAACCAGCTATCTTTTCTTTGTTAAGGACGCCAGCAGATGCTGGTCATAAAATACTGCATGTTTTCACTATTAAAATACTGCATTACCTAAAATAGCCCATGCAGTATTTTAGTAACATTTGTTAGTGAATTGAAAAAAAAATATTTTGATAAATGTTGAGTTATGTTACCACTGATCTCGAAACGGTAAATACTTCTTAGTGAATTGAGCCCACTGTGTTTATAAAAAAAAAACCTAAAGCAATTATTTCTTTTAAATAAAAACAAGGCAAAACTTTTTTTTTTTAATTTGACCTAAAGCAATTATTTCTTTTAAATAAGAACAAGAAGGCAAAACTTTTTTTTTTTCATTTGGCATAGACTAAGGGAGGGTTATAGCCCCTGTCTGGTTGTTTTTTTGCCACCTGAGTACAACTGGGGAGATTTCCCTTCACTTCCTCTGTCAAAGCTAGAACAGGAAGTGTGAGGAAATCGCTACAAAGTGAGGAAATCTGTGGTTGTCATCAGGGTGCCCAGAACTAGTGACCCAATTGGAAGATTTCATCTCTGCTCCTGTTAACCCGAAATGTGTGATTTTCTTTCACTTTCACTCAGAACAAAACAGAGAAGGTGAATCTCCCTAACAGGCACAGATGCCAATAAATACTTGGCAGGTGTTCTAATCCCTCTCCACTCTATTCAAAACATAATACTTTGGCCTTTAGCCCTGGTTCACAGCGATGCGGTGACAGTTTCAAATCGCATGACAAGTCGCATCCTATTATCTGCAATGACACCTTTCAAATTGGTGCAACTCCAACTTTGCAGTGCTGCACCGATTTGATAAAGAGACTCCTGCACTATTTTTTTGCGATTTCAGGTGCAGCTTGCATAGACATCTGTGCATGAAGTCGCACCTGAAGTCACACTGACATGCGGCTTTGAAATCATGTGTCTTCAAATGAAGTCGCACGAGTTCAAAGTCGGATTCAGCTTGAATCGATACTTTAAGACAAAGAGATACGTTTATTTAAAACAATTCAACAAGTATGTAGGAGAAAATCCAGAGAAACCGAATTGCACAGGAAGGATTGAGGAAGGATTGTGACATTCAGGTTGTAGAATGCCATCGCATGCTGGTGAAGGGTGTGGATTGACGAATGTGAAACACTGCGCGAACTCTGAATAAAGGATTCTGATGACGACTGATCTGATAAGAAGCAGCAAAATCAATGCATTTGAATACAGCTCTACATTTTATTTTCGTGCCTTCTTTCTTGGCCAACAGACCTTTATAAGATAAGCCTCCAACATCATCTATAAAAATACTCTAAACAGGCTTTAAGCTCATTGCTTCAATTCTAGAAAATGGTAGAGGAAGGGGGGCCGACACTGTGGCTCTGTGCTCCCCTACTCCTTCATTGTGCTCTGACGATAATTCAAGCATTAGGGGAAAATCCATTTATAAATTAAACAAAATGACTTGATATCCATCGTTCCCCAGTTCATCACGCTGTTCAAACAGCCACGAGATTGGCGTCTTGTCCCCGGCCTTCCGAGAGCCTTAGTAATTAGATCTGTGACGGATTTATCCTTTGCTGATTGAAGCTTTAAATTAATTGAAGTTCCACGTTTGTGGTTTTCTGTGTTTTTTTTTTTTTTTTTTTTTTTTCATTGCAAGGTTTTTGCCTAGTGCTTATTCTCTCTGGATCACTCTCATGGGGAATGCTGGAATCCGATTTTTTTCTCTCTTGTTTCAACGTGTATGTGAGCACAAAAGGGACAGTATTTTGGAATTGAGAGGGGACTCTGAGCTTTTGTTTGTTTAGCTTCTTTTCAAGTTAAGGTATCCTTCTTTCAGCCATAAATACACCCAATGCTAGCTACATGATCATTGCTTGTTCGGGGACTAACTTACAATGTATGGCATTGTTGGCAACATATCATCTTGAATTGAATACAGATTTAGTATTACTATTCATAATTGTTGGCTTAGAGAAATTAGACTATCTTATGTTATTGTCTATCATTAAATTCATATGAATCAATAGGACACATATCAACTTCACTAAATCCCATTATAGATTTAAATAAAAAAACTTCCCTCTCTTGATATGAATAGAAATCAATGCTTGCAAGGTTCCTTATGTGACCTAAGATCACATGGCTTCTAGTTACCATGAGCATTGTGGGAATTCACTTCGTTAGAGACTACAGAGCACTTTTTTTATTCGTTCTTCTCAATGTGATAAACTTTGGCTATAAAAGTAAAGTCAAGGATCACAAAGAGTAACTATTGTACAGCTCTGCAAGACAGCAATATGTAGTGAGAAATTACGTATGCCCCTATGTATCCGTACAAACTATACATACGTACTGTAGAAGCAAGGTTTTTAAACAAAGTATTTGTCACTACAACAAGCAGAATATTTTTAAAATACTTTTTCAAAAATTATTATCCTTTTTTAAGTGGCTAAACAAAGTGATCAGTATTACTCCTAGCCAAGCCAGGTTCCTATATATTTAGATGGTATATACAATAATGTTAATTTCCTTTTGGATCATAAATAAACAGTATACACAAGCTTTCTGTAGACATGGATTACCAGAACCCTTAATGGATTCAGTGTGGGGAAATGTCACTAGCACACCAAGGATTCTTCAATCGGGTTCACAGATATATTTTGTGGTCACGTGGTACATACAAAAGCAATGTTTCTAAGCCACACAAGGCCCCTTCATCAGGCAAGTGACCCCTTTGAGGAACCATTGTTGTGCTGGTGATATTTCTTCGTATTGAGAGTCTATGGTTTGCAGCTTGTGGTCACTACAACACCCAACAATACTGAACAGCCATCTTCAGGAACGTGTGCATTGGGAATATTGTGAATGGACTTAATGGATTGAGGGTCTGTCTACCCAAAACTGATATTACAGTTTTTGATAAATGGTGAAAAACTAAACCGCGTGTTTCTTGTATCTCCCGGGGAATTTATTGGTGAGATATCTGCACTTGAGTTCTTGGGCGTGTGCACATGCTTTGGCCATTATGAGGAAGCCCCACTCTCAGGAACCCGCAATACTCTCAGGTAGATAGAGTGAGATCAGAAAATATGGCATGGAGACAAGACAAGACAAAACTCCAACAAGAAAGTTAAAAAAAACTTGATGGACCACTTGGTCTTTTTCTGCCAACACTCTTCTGTTTCTATCTCTCTTTTGGAGTAGTAAAGACATTTACAAGGCTGGCTCAACGAACCAGGTTTCATCTGTACCTACAATGTCAGTTTTGATAAAATAGATTTTAGATCAAATAGATTATATGAATACATGTGGAGGTGAGACTTCATAGTTAAAAACTTGCCTAGATATGGCAGAACTGGCTAGTACACCTAAAACATGACAGCTGGCACCTCCTGAAAAGCAAGTAGCTTCCTGAATTCTGAAATGTGTCCCATAGGCTATACATGCAGGCCTTATGTTCACAAATACAGGTTTTCTCTTTTTTTCTATTTTCAGCTCCAATTCTTTCCCCTTTTCCATTTCTTCTATTTCTCATGTCTTCCTCATTTATTCCTATTTTTCATATTACCTTCCCACCCTCCATATATTCCTATATAGTTTCCATCCCCTCGCTTCCTCACCTCTCCCTCCTGTTTTCGCCGGTAGTACGCTCCTCTTTTCTCACGCTGCTGCTGCGTACTGTTCTCTCTTGTGGCTCGCTAGCAATTCAATTATAGAGACGCGAGATATCGAGTCTCTGGCGGAGGAAGGGCCTCGGCTGACAAGAAATATGACAGACTACTTACAGCGTGTTTATGCCGTTAAACTTACCCTTGCCACACCTGCAATATGGTAAATGTCAGGGTTTTGTGGGTTTAATAGCATGTAAACACAACTGTGCAAGCCTGCATCTGTTTTGTGCTGTGCACCTGTCTTCTGTATACAGTGATTTTCCTGCATATACCATCCCT